CAGCGCGCACGGCGGGGGCGGTGCCGCGGCTGCGACCGCCCGCGTGCACTGCGTCACGAGGGTCCGGGCGACCAATGGCGCAGCGCTTCGTGTAGGAACCGCGGCGGGTGGGACTGCGCGAGCGCCGGGCGCGGGCGGGCGGGAACGGCGGCGGCGCTGAGGGGCGGCGGAGCAGCGGGAACGGCGGCGGAGCAGGGCTCAGCTCAGGTGAGGGGTGCGGAGAAGGGCCGCGGCCGCTGTGTGAGGGCTCGGGGAAGGTAGAGGGTTGCTCAGGTGGGTGGGGTGAAGACGAACGCGGGGAGGTCGGGGGTGCGCTGGGAAGCTTGGGGGCTGCGTGGGGAACGAGGGTGAGGGAGGCACTGGGGTTCGGTCCGGGGCATTTATTTGTCATTTGGGCTTCTCTGGAGGGGGCAGCGGTGGTGTTTCCCAGCCTGGCCGAATTGGAGGCGGGACAGGGTCGCTCAGTGTGGCTGTTAGCGGCTGCCCCGCTCTGGCGCGGCCCCGCCCGGTGGTGCGGTCCGGCTCCAGCGAGGTTCTTCACGGAGATGCCAGRATGACCCCTTCATTTCCCTGTGCTCCAGAGCAAAATTCAGGAACCTTCTCCTACATTTACTTTCGAGTTAGTATATGAGAGGCCAAGACAAGTGCAGACCCCTGTTTGACAGACTTGCCTGTAGCTGCTCGAGGACTGGGAGACTTGCTTACTCATCGGATAAGTCGTGATAGGAGAACCAGTGGAAGACTTTGGTAACTTTATTACTATTAGTAAATTGTTTGCAGAAATGATTGTAGGACAGGAGCATTCCACAAGTTAGTGTATGGCAATTCTGTAATCAGAGCAGTAGCAGAACACTAGTGATGCTGTGGGTTCTCTGAGTACGTGAGACTTTGAATATAAGCATTTGGTCAAGGTCTTGGTTAATTACTTTCAAAGAATGATGGAACAGGGTATTTGCAACAGGTGTGGCAAGATGAAGTAGCTTTTTATTTTCTATATGTGACAGATTTTATTCTAGGTACATCATCCTCAAACATTTCATTGTGCAGCTATTGATAAATGTTGATAAACTAGCGAAGAACTGATTATTATGACCTCTGCAATACTTTGAATAAACATTAGACAGTGCACTTCTTATACAAAAGTGAATAGTAGTTGAGATCTGTAGCTGCTTACCCAACAGAGTTAAATAGTTAATATGTGTCATAAGGTATTTAACTTCATTGAAAGATGTACCTAAATGAAGGTGTAGTTCTTCATAATTATTAGAAGAGCTCATTATGGCATGAGCTTAATGTGTACAGAACTTACTGAATTCTGGATTGTGATTTAAATAGCTACAGTGCAGGGCCTGGAAAGTGCAACTTGCCTGTCCCTTTTTCATTGAGAAACGGAGGGCAAAGAGACATAAAAAAAGTATTTAAAAGAGACTTTATTGTTAAAAGGATTGTAAAAATCGTTAGGAATGGCAGGGTTGAAGTATTTGACATAGCAATACTAAGATACTGACAGCATATAAAATAGGTGTTTTCTAAAAAGTAAAGTGAATAATTGACAGTGTGTAGATATAGACTTGTTCYCTCTGATAACCTTACGAAATTTAAAATGCTGCTTATACTTTTTTTTGTATTGTTTTATTTGTATTTGATTTTCATTTACATCTCATTCTTACTGAGTTTCATTGATTTGTTCAAGGGCAGCATTAAATTTGTGTTTGCTAGTTCAAAAACCAGTGAAACTTAAGTACTTTTTTACTGTGCTTTACTATGGTTTTATTAGTATGCTTTAGAAGTCAAATCTAGCAGAAAGCTTCATTACAGAACTCCAATATATGGAACTGTATATTTTGATGTCAAGAATAATACAAGTTAAGATGGTTAGCCACAGTAGAAAACCTGAAAGGACTAACTTGATGATCTCAGGGTCTCATGAGTTACAAAGAGGGTTTTGCTCTTAATGGAGGGCATGAACTGCTCCTTTTAGCTCTTTTCAGTGTTCAGTAGTAGAAGCAGAATGGTTGACCTTAAGAGAATGCAGGAGATAATTATGCAAGCATGGTGCAGGTGTGGGGAAATTAAGTAAATAGAAACAATCTCATGTGTGATATGAGCACATAAATCAGCATCTATAAAGCACAAACAGGAAGAAAGCCCCAAAAGTGTGGAAGGATATACATGTGTTTAGTTCTTAGTGCTTAAGTGGTAAAGTTTCAGGTTAGTGAAGTGGTGAGTGAAGATAGTGGGGAAAAACCTTTACTAAAAATATGTCTGATATCGTGCATGAAGAATACTGGAAAGAACTGTCCGTTTGTTTTCTAAGTACACTGATCAAAATACAATTTGTTTCAACTGCTGTCCCTTAACACTTGATATCATGCAGGCTGCTGGCCAAATAAATGCTTAAGAGGGCATGGGTAGATTAATCTTGCCAGCCTTTTGCTCTAGTCTCACAGCATTCATTTTAGCTCCCTGACTTAATTATTAGAAATGATATTCTTTTTCTTCCATTTTTGGTTCTTACATTTTAGGTTTGTTTAGAGGGTATTGATTTTCAGGCAAATGCATCATTTTCTTATGTATCAAATATTCAAAGGTTTTGAATTTTGCATGACAAATATTTGGGTCCCATACAGGCTGATAAAAATATTCTAATTTTAACGGTACTCAGACTACAAGTTTCTATATTTGATTTTCAGGAAAGTAACACCAGTTGTCACTGAGTTGTTCTTATGCTACACTCAAACCACTGTAATCTGGTGGCAGGGGACACCTTATGTCTGGAAGGTACAGGGCCTTGTCGTACATCATTCTGGTCAGGTGACAACCAGCATTTTGTCTTTCAGCATTTTCCTTTCTGCACTCTGTCTTTTAAATATAATATGCATAGGTCTATTTTCTGCTCTCTCCTTTTAGTAGGAACAGATCACCCTGTCCTTCATGAAAAGCATGAAACATCATGTGGCAATGTGGAAGTGATTCTTTTTTTTCATAATCATTTATATATGCCACTGTTTTTTCCTAAGTTCTCGGATACTTGTTTCAAAATTCATTTTTTTGACCAGATGCGTTGTTGAAAAAAAAGTTGCTGCTTTTAATTATTTTTGTTGTAGTTGCTTGTCCTGTATAAAAGACTTTTTTTATGCCTTCAGTTCCAACATTCAGAGTTTCATATGTAAACCCTATCAATGCAGTAGTTTCTATGAGATGAATTATTTTATATCAAAGATATGGTAGGTGTTTTCATTTATAATACAATCTAATATGCAGATAAGCTAAGTCAGCCCATTGTAAAATAAAGGAAAATGTGCTTTATGTGGCTGAACTGTGGAAATGGACGATTTACTCTTTATTATGCCCACCATAGGTTGGTTGAATGAACTGAAAATGAGCAATAGTGTCTTGTCTTTCTGTGCCTCACAGTCATGTCCAGGCCTGTTGTGTTTTCAGGCTCCTGTTGTTGCACTAGCTAATCAGTGAATTGGTCTTCCGGTAGAGAGTCAGTTTTTTCAGCATGTGCTTAATTTAGAGGTGCTGTGTTTATGGTCCTAGAACTCAAAGTGTAGTGTGAAGCTGGTTCAGGTATGCCAGCCTGAAATGTTTGATACAGTGAAATATATGGTATATTTACCTAAGTGACTTTGTATGACAAAGGTAAGGATAAGTGTTAATCAAAGATGAACACTAAAGTGGTTGTTGTGCATGTGAAATGTGAATTTGCAGCATTTTCACTTGCATATTCTGCAAATATGAAAATAGCATAATGGAGTTTGACACGTGTGAAACAGTGAACTTACAAGTCTCATTGAGTCCTGGAACATACTGGTCTTTCTCTGCCAGCTTACAGTTGTAACTAAGTTGTTGTGGAATGTAAAATAACTCGTTCTTCAAGTGTATTTCTTTTTCTTTCTAGGAATCAGAAAAATGGCTACTACACAATCTGTCTTCACATTTGCTTTGTGCATTTTAATGATAACTGAATTAATACTGGCTACAGAGAGCTATTATGATATCTTAGGAGTTCCAAAAAATGCATCTGACCGCCAGATTAAGAAGGCATTTCACAAGCTGGCCATGAAATACCACCCAGACAAAAATAAGAGTCCTGGTGCAGAAGCGAAATTTAGAGAAATTGCTGAAGGTAATATACACTAACTTTTGTTTTAATAATTTGATACATGTCTAATATCTATAAGCTAAGTGCATTCTGTTTTTACTGAATAAGAGGTAAAAAGGTATTTTTTAAAATTAATTCCATTCATGTGCTGTCAGATGTCCAGCATCAAAATCTGACTTGTTTCTATCTTGCACACAGGAAGGCCTTTTACAGTTTATGCATTTCTGCATATTAGGCTTTTTATATATGCCTTTTCTCACAAAAAATACCTGATAGTCGGACTATCTGGACTACCAGATAGTCAACAATTAACCTTTTAGGAGGTTAATTGTTACCTTTTGATCTGTTTCATGAGATCCAGCTCAGGATTACTACTTGGGCTTCAACCTTCCAGTGCGGTGATTATGAAAAAACACACAGAAGGGTGCTTCAGTGGTTCATGGTGGGAATACAAAAGACAGCAGGTGCAAGAGGTTCAGAGTGGTTATAAGGAAAAACTTTTTCACCTGAGGATAATGGTTGGATTTGATGATCTTTTCCAGTTTTAACAATTCTGTGATTCTGCTCTACAGGCCAGTGTTAGATTGCTTGGGGGGGTTTGTGAAGTTTCCAACTTTGGAGACTTTTTCAGAAATGATGGGTAAGGCTCTGACTAACCTAGTCTTATCTCATAGCTGACCTTACTTTGAGCAGGAGGCTGGAGTGAGGTCACGTGTAACTTGACTTATGAATATATCACTTATAAGTGTTTTGTCATAAAATAAAGTGGTGGAAGTGGATAATCAAGAATAGAAAGACTTGCTGAAAAATAAGGTATACCCACTTCTATTCCCTGTAGACTCAGTTGTAACATCTGTCTATTTGTGTAGTTCTCCTAACTAAGCTAATAAGGTATTTCTGGGTTTTACCTTGCCCGCAGAAGAGTTATTTTGAAATAAAGGTAGCTAGTAATAGAAAGGGAGGGGCACTCTTGTTAGATTGTACTGCAGTCATTAGCACCTACTACAGGAGGATTTAAGAGCTCTTAAGTGTTGAGTTATATAGAATAATTGCAAGTCTTTGACAGAAAATAAAAATTAATTTTAAAAATACTTAGTTATCAGAATGGATGTACTGTCTATCATAGTTTCTGCCTTGGAACACCAGTAGTTGTTGTTTCAGACCAAAGATTGAAGGGAAATCTAATTTTGTTTGGGATGTATCAATTCACAAAATCTAGGTTTATTGCTGAACTTCTGAAAAATTGAGACTTGGGAAATAATTAAATTTCGTTCCCTTTATCTCCTCAGTATTTATCTTGTTGCTTGGTTGTAACTGTGGTGTAGCTAGACACCACGGTTTGTTCGGCAGAGGTCCTAACTCATCCTTCAGGCTTTCTGATCACCACCTCTCATTGTTACTTGCTTTCAAATCATAACACTTTTATTGGTAGTCAAATTGTGTTGTGTTACATGTAATCTATCTTCATAATACAGCTATGTTTATTATTGTAAATGACTATTTTGAAGCAGCTTAATTTGGTTTGGAGAAAGGTAAATAAATGTTGAGCTCGACTGGGCTTGATCATGGAGTGAAAATTTTGCTTGAAATTTGTCTGGTTCAGGGAGAGTGGGAGAGAATGCTGCTGTTCTTTGCGTTTTTGTGTATGGTTTTCTCCTGTTGTTTTAAATGGAAAGGAAAAAGAACTGTAACTTCTTTCTTTTTTTTTTTAACATAAATAGCATATGAAACATTATCAGATGAGAATAAGCGAAGAGAATATGATCAGTTTGGCCATCATGGAGGACAGCGAAGTAATGGAAGCCCATTTCATCAGTCGTTTAATTTCAACTTCGATGATCTGTTTAAGGACTTTGACTTATTTAGTCAAAACTCACGGTCAAAAAAGCACTTTGAAAATCACTTCCGAAGTCATCGGGAAGGTCATAATCGGCAAAGACGTTCTTTCCAAGAGTTTTCTTTTGGAGGTGGACTGTTTGATGATGTGTTTGAAAATATGGAAAAAATGTTTTCATTCAGTGACTTTGAAAATGCACACAGGCACGCGGTGCGAACTGATGCCAGGTTTCATGGATCCAGCAAGCACTGTAGGACTGTCACTCAGAGACGAGGAAACATGGTTACCACATACACTGACTGTTCTGGACAATAATGTTTCCTTCCTTCTAAACTTTTCTCCTTTTCTCAACATCTTCATAGTTTTTCTTGGTTTCTGCTAACATGGAAGAAATTCTCTGAACTGTATTTTCTATAAAACAAACTACTATAAAGAAGTTGTAGATGAAACTAATTTTCAGAATAGAAGCAACATGCTGTTGGGAAGTAAATGTATCAACAGCTACTTACAATGGGAGAGAAATAATCTTGTGTGATAGAAAAAATTATATCTATTTCAGTTTAGTAAACACTTCCCCTAAATTTGGACACGAGACATATATTTTTCATTTCAGAAATGTAATTTTTTTGTATATGCCAGTTCAGGACTGATAGAATGACTGGTGTGTGAATTGAAGCAGAGGAGATAAACTATAATTTTGAAGTGCTGCTTTTTTTTTTAATAATTGTATCTTTCCAAGTTTGCACTTGTAGTTTTTACCTGATATAGATTTACTGTGCAAATTAGACAATTTACACAGAATAGCAGCAGAAATACGGCTTCCCTGGGTCTTTGTTTCTCTATCTAGCATTGCAAATATATTAGTTAAAACCCTACTTTTTGAAGTTGGAAAATATTAAGAGGGAATATGTTAAGGTTGTGAATGATGTAGGAATTAGTTTTATTTCTGAATAGCCTTTCATTGACCTGAAAAGATCTTAGGATTTAAATGAACCTTAACTTATTTAAGGGATATAGCGATATTCATGTATGTAAGTTTTGTGTGCACACAAAATTTGTTTTGGGGTTTTTTCTCCTTCCCACAATACAAATATCTTTCTAACAAGGTTTGGAAGAGCACACTCGAAACACTCTTGTTTTATACTTAYTATATTACCACGTGTGCAATATACTTGTCATAACTCACTTAATTGAACTAAAATACCCCTCTGAGCTCTTGTAAACTTCAGTAAGATAAGCTTCCCTACAGATTTGTGGTGTCCCTGAAAGGGTCTGAGTAAAAGATACAGTGTTTATATTGACAGATTTATTACCTGTCAGCAGGAATTTTTCAGCATTGTGATTTGAAAGGTAAATTCTTAGCCTAACCACAGAGTAAAACTGAAAATTAAGATCTTTGTATTCATCCAATGCCTTGTGGGGCTGGAAACTGCTAATAAGGACAGGACTAATGGGTATTGATTTTAGCATCAGGAAACCCATGACCAGTGTAAACTATTTAAAATTTAAGAAGAAAAATGCAAAAAAAAAAAAAAAAACCCCACAACAAATCAAAACAAAAAAAAAAAAAAAAAAAAAAAAAAAAAAAAAAAAAAAAAAAAGCCCCACAACAACCCCCCCCAATACTTTAGCTGATGTCAGTCAAAAAGTTCTGTTGTAACTCTTAAATAATAATACAGGTTCAGTATGTTAAATTGGCTCTCCCTTTAGAAATGTGAGGTAAGAATTTACCTTTCAGGTTGATTGCATGTGCAAAATAAGCATTTTAAGTAGCAGTGTTCTAAATAGCCTTTGAGTTAGAATCTTTATTAAGAGATTTAACCCTTTACTTCTTGGATGAATATTGAAAGCTGCCTATTTACTAAGGAACTTTAGCCTTCCTCTCAAGAATATGTATTACTGCTTGTTCAGTTTTCATTGACTAAATACTTGGAACGGATTGTTGCGTTATATTAAGTGCTTTTCCTTTTTTGTGTTCTTCTTTATTTATTAATAGACTAATACCTCACACATGGTCTTTATAAAAAGCCAGTAATTTGTGCAACATTATCGGAATGTGCAATATTCTTATAGTAGGAAAAGTGCTGGATTGAGTGTGTTTGTTTTTTTCACCCTTTTTCTGTGTAAGTAGAGATTTTTGTTTCTTCTGTATAATTAATATATGATTCAAACTAAAGTTGTACTTCATGTAGATTTCTGCATTTATTTTCTTCAACATCTTCCGTAGTCCTGTGTGTGAATCAAACTATCTGCCCAATTGGTATCATATGAGCATCCAAGTGAACAAATTATTAGCTTTAAGTTATGCAATACTTTCACAAATTTTAAGTACTAAGCATGAGCGTGTTTGTGGATATGCTTTGGTGGGAGGCAACTCTAGAAGCTGGATGCAGAGGTAGTSTAGTGAATATTTTTTTCATTTAGAAAAGATAAATTAGAAACAGTAGAATGAGCAATTCACTTGGGTCCCTTCCCTAACCCAGAATTTGAGGAATGAAAGCTAAAATGAGCACTGTGAATTATAGGAAACATAAAATTCCCCCCAAAAACTCAAGTCTTTTAAATTACTAAGTTGAAGATCTTTCAGGCTAAGCTTTTAGGCGAAAATTAGGATTCTAGCCGCTTCTATGCTAGTTTCCCCTCTTTAAGAATGCTACAAGCTTTGTACAAAGTATTCTTGTTTTCCTGATCTCTTTAAGTATGAAACTGATAGTAAAACCAATAGTGTTGCTAGCTGATACACCTAAAAAGACTTCTGCCTAGTTAATTTTAACTAGATTCCATGTTATTTCTCACTCATCTTAGGATAAACAACAAATGCTTTTCATAATTTCTATGGCTTTTTTAAGTCATCTTTCTGCTTGTTTTTGTTGTTGATCCAAGGTAAAATCCAAAGGAGAGCTTGTCATGGGCATTGCAGAAACCAGTTTCTGGCTATCCTTACGGTTTTCTGTGGTGAGTTTGCTTTGAGTAGACTTCAGCTGGGGAAATTCGGGCAGGCTTTTCTCAGCCAAGAGTCTTCACTTTCATGGCTCTCAGAACACAGGCTTGCAAAACATGTTGTGCTTCTCACTTATTTGGAGCTCTTGCACATTCTTTCCCTATTTATAGTGTTTGCTTCATGGTAGGCTCTCCAGCGGAAGTCCTGGTATAACCTTATGACACCCTGACTTCAGAATTTCTTAAGTGCCATGTTTGATCTCTCTTTAAATCTTACGAAAAGACCCAACAAAACCAGGTTTAGTTAGATAAGGGTGAAAAATAAAATCCTGAACAATTTTTTGAAAGTCATTTATGCATATGTAACTCCAAATGATTTAGTTTTTAAAACTACAAAAAGTGTTTTTTTCATGTTTGGTTTTTTCCCATTGTATTTTCAAAACAGTGGCGATGAAAATACTGTAAAGGAGAGTGCCATTACATTAAACATGTAAAAATTAATGGTGTGGTATGTCTTTTTCCTTCAAGATATAGATGGCAAATGAAATTTGAGTGGTTTATGTGGTGCTTGTGTTTTATGGAATGTTTTGACCACTGCATTTTCCTAGAATCAGATGGTGGGGTTGGCAGGGATAGTGGGGTTGAAAGAAATTTAGTCAATTTTACCTCATTTCAATTTTTTGGAGATGTTGGGAATGATTTGGAGTAAGGTATTATGCCTTTAAATAAAGCAGACAAAAAAAAAAAACTATGCAAAAGGACTTTTTTCTTAGARTCTGGGGATGTGAGAGCTGAAAGCTTGTGTGTTGAGCTGATGGTCACTGCCTGTGCTCTGCCCTCCTGAAGTGTGTGAGGGGCACTATGGCTCGTGCTTAAATGTTCTGGAGTGCCACTGCGAATTGCAGGCTCCAAAGCCAAGGTCAGGGTGCTGTTATGCTGATTCACGAGACTGAGCTTGAAAGTTCTTGTTTTCTGGGTTTGATCTTTAAAAGGTGGAGGGTATGAAAATTTGGGGATTCGGTTTGTCTCATCTGGCTGTTTCTCATTAGAATCATCTTCCCTGAAACCCAAACAAGCTGTCATCTTAATAATGCAAACTTAGATTTTGAGGACTAATGTGTTGGAAGCAATGTAAGATCTGCATTATATTTTTGTGGTGAGGAGTTTTGGGATTTTTGAAAATTATTTGTAGGTTGAAAACTCTTGGACTTTAAAGCCTTGTGTAAGGTTTCTTGACTGTGCCATGTATGGGGCTCCTTTCAGAATAAAATGCTGTTCAGAGGATTGTTTGGCTCTGGCAGCTGTTGTGGTTGAGCCTGACTGGTCTGGTCTGTCCTCGGGCAGTGAGTGATTCCCACAGCCGTGCTGCTGGCTTCTTTCCTGTGGGCACCTGTTCCTTCGGGAATGGGCAGACCAGCTCTGCAGAAGCTGCTTGGCAGTTGTGATATCCATTGACTGTCAGTCACTCCTGGTATAGTCTGAATCAATTCTAGGTTACGGCTGTGCTTCATCCTTGATTCCAGTTTCTTGTTTTGACAAGTTTTTCAAAGTAGCAAACTTTTTCAAAATCAAACAAAAAATTAACACAATAATAAAAAAAACCCCCAAAACCAAAGCCCAACAAAATTGCTTTGAAGTGATATACTCCAAAGCTTGTTTTATTTGGGGCATGTTACCTGTTATGCAGCGGTGGGTGATTCAACAGCACCTATTTTACGAATGACAGTGGCACTAAAATGAACATTACTGTTTGTGCTCTTCCTGCTGAGGTTGCAGTCGCACCAAAGGTGTTGTGGAGGTGTCCAGGTCTCTAGGGGTGGCTGCAGAATTCTGCCAAGTCTCTGAGATGCTAGCTAGAGATGGTAGACTGTCTCGTCCAAGCAGTTGTTCTGGGACAGTCCCCTAAGGAATGAACATGCTCCTGGTATCAACATATATTTTTCTGTGTGAATGAAGGGGGTTGTGCTGGGAGTTGATTTACGTTGCTGGTCTGTTGAGAATCTGAGTTGTGTGTTTCTCTGGCAAAACTGATGCACCTCTAAGAGGCATCCATGAGGAGGGAGGTGTCTGACCCATCTTTGCTCAGCCTGACACCTGATCTCCAGCCATAGGTAGGAAGGGGTACTGACAATTGGCTCAGTGGTGTTGGTATTTGGCTCTCAACAGCTTCATTCATGAGCCTGTTTAGTGTGGGGCTGTAAGGTGTCAGAGGTTAAGCTCGAGAATTCTGGCTGTTGTACCTATGGTAGGCAGAGGCACAAGCAAAGGCTGTTACTGTTACTCCAGATAGTTATGTGGGATTTTAGGGGAACCAGCGAAAAACAGAAGGGCAAAATATTGAGTGCTACACATCAAGGGACCCTGGGCCTGCACCTGTGTTGTTGTCTTCTGAAAATTTTTCTAATTCTGCATGGAATGCTCTTACTAAGCACTGCTTTTTACTAAAATTTTATAGAAAGAAAGTGAATTTTTAGTGGTTATCTGTTGGATGTTATTGCCATAATCTGTTCATCTCCCACTAATGTGTAAATTAGTCTGAAATAGGAAAGATGAAGTGAGCTGTCTGAAGGCCACATTGGACTTTAATCCATTTTACTTTAGCACTTGGTACCTGCAAKATTTTTAGCCCTCAATATGCAGGATTTTAGCTAGTGCTCTAATGACAAGTTGTGTTTTATGCCCACATGACAGGAGTAACAACTGTCTCTTCTGCTGTGCAGCAACAGGCACTTTAGGAGACTCCAATTATAAAGTGGAGATGAAGTGCCTGTCCTGTGGCAGTGTTTGCCAGACTCCACTGGCTGAAGTGGGGGAATCCATTGGAGCACCATGATTATTAATGCTGAGCATGCAGTGGTCCAGCTGAGGGAGAAGGTACTTTCTTTGCCCAAATGCCTAAATGAATCCCAACAATGAATTTGATTGAATCCTTCTACTTTAATATGTAAATTTTTGCATTGAAAGTTGTTTTAAAATAATGTGGGCCTTAAGCCTGTCAGGCAGCCAGTGCCTGCTTGGGTGGGTGGTTCTGCCACTCCTTGGTAGCTCCCCTTGGAGACAGGAGGGGAGGGAGTGCAGAGGGAGGGCTCAGAACTGTTGCTGGGAGCAGAGTGCGGATGTTATCACTTATATACAGATAAATTAAACCATTACCTGTGCAGATGGAGCATAAATATACCTTGCTTCTGCTATGAGCTGAATGCAGAGCTTGTGGCTTGTTTGTAGAAATGCTATTACCTTCAACAACAGATACTGTATTTTCATCTTCTTACACCCTCTTCCCCTGTTTTTTTCTGCTTTTGATGACTGATGACTCTCCAGTATTTTTCCCATTTGGCAGTAGCTATAGTTGTTATATTTCTACTGGCTTTGCAAGTTCCTGTCAATTGACTTTGGTCTGTATATATGAAACATATTTTACAATCCAATTTAAATGCGTTTAGTTTTTTGTTTGTTAATAGTGCAAACCATTTCAATGCAACCTAATTTTCTCCTGTCTGTCTTTCCCATATCCTGCTGAGTTAGCCACATATACAGCATGAGGTTTTGTACTGGTTTTCTGCTTTTATTCTGTGTGTGGGAAGGCAAATGATACCTAATC